GCCACCTTAGGTGTACGTGGCTGGCGCCTTAGCCGGTTGAGCTGTAGGCGCCGAGCCCAGATACAGTCTTTCTAGAGTACTTTTTTTTTTTTTATATAAACTAGCTGTGTTTAGAGAATTAAACATAATAAACTTTATGGGTATCTCTCAGAAATTTTGTTTAGATAGCCATTATTGTAATAGTGAATGTTATGTTTCTGTTTCTCTCTCTAGAATCTTCCTGGAAAAAGAGACATGAATGAATGTCTGCAATGATACTTCTTGACAAGCAGTTGATACAGGAGAAGGAAAGATTAACAGCAGTGAGCAGAATTTCCAACAACCAGGATTCTGTATTTATAACTTCTAATTACAGCCTTCGGTTGCCGCTTAAATCAGAGATAACTACACAAGGCAAAAGGATACTTTTCTTCTGTATTTTTTGAAATCAAAGAAATTGCAATGTCTAGGAAACAAAGCCAGAAGGGTAAGATTACCCATGGGCTTAAATTGTTAGAAGCATAGTTGTAGAGCAGTGATCCCCATTTATATCTATATATTTAAAAACTGTTTCTAATAATGTGTTTTGAATGGCTTTACAAATACAGCTGTTAGATGTTAGCTTTGTGTAGTACTAGTCTGGGAATTAATTTGTATAACAATTGCTTTTCTACTTATACAAACATTAAATTGTAATATACTTACAGGAAGGCCAAATGCACCTTGGAGGAGCACTTTTGGAGAGTAAAAAAAGTGTTAGGAAGATGTGGTAGGAGACAAATTACTGCAGGGCATTCTTTGTCCTTTGAGTTAACATTTTACTGGAGAAAGGAAATGAAACAAGAGTAAATGCTGGTGGTTTTTGTTCCTCCTTCAGCTTTCCTTCCGGGACTGTCACTCTAGCTTCTTATCTCAAGTAAAATATAGGGTGCCAGAGAGTCAGGAAGTGTCAACGGTCAAGGGTAGTTGAATGAGGGGAAGGACAACAAAGGCTTTGTAAAACCATTTTCAACTTTCCTAGAATAGCTGCAAACATTTAAAGGGACAAATTTAACAATAGCACCAGAACTATTAATATTACATGTTACTGGAATATATTTAATAAAAGAATGACCATAGGTATCCTACCCTTTTCTCCTTCATTCAGTTTAACATTCAATTTAAAGCTGATGTTCTTAATTCAAAACAAAGCTCTGTAGATCCAAGTTTCACATGTTAAATTTGACAGAAATGCTTTTAAACTTAATTTTGACTTGGCAGTTCAAAAACGTTTTAAGGGAATAATATATCAGAGCTGCTTATGGTTTTGAAAACTGTAGTTCCATTGTATTGTATTTTCTTCATATAGACTTAACTGTATGAAAAAAATCAGAGTTTTAAGGAATGACTAGATTATACTGAATTATTTATGGAAAGAGATTTATAAAGTGAAAAACTTTTATAACCTCAATTTGTTTTTTCCTAGTCATTATAATTGTTTGTTTTTTCCCAGTAATGCTTGAAACATTGAGCATCTGTTTTTTCTCCTGCAAATGAAAAATACTGTGATAAAAATAGGATTCTGGACTTTGCAATTATGGACTCTTTAAAACTGGAGTCTTCGTTTATTTCATACTTTTCTGTCAGAGCTGTAAAAAAATTGTTGCTTTTTGTAATTGGTATCTAATTACTATAAAATGAACTTAAATTTTAGACCACATCATAGGCATTAAGTGATTATTAATTTTGATTAAACTTAGACTATGTTTACACTTTATTTGGAAAGAAAATAAAGTTTGTGGTGTTGGGACTTTTTCTGAGACAAAAATCTATGCATGTAATGATTTATATGTCTGATATTTGTTACAGAAAAGCACAAAGTATAAAATTTTGTCTCATTTATTGATTTATACATTTAGATTTTTTACTGTTTGGGGTTTTATTAGTTCAAATAATCTGTAATTATAATTATTTTTATCATCCACTTAGTAGATTTTGTTCTCTAGAGGCATCTCATTTAACAGTCATTTTGTAATGAGTTATGATTTATTCCATAATACACCATGTTTCCATATTTTCCCTTTGTCAATAATACTTGTATATTCCCTATTTAATGAAATATTTAGAGAAGTTAAATTCGAATAGCTCTGTTATAACTATTAATCTCTCAAAGCCTTGTAGCAGAAATTCGGTAGCCCAGTACTGCTCAGAGTGTGGTCCATGTGGTACTTGTCTGTGAGCTGGCAAAATATGTAGAAATGAAGAGTGTACAGAAGTTCTTTTATAGTGATTTGATAGTGCTGCAACATCTAAGCTCTTTTTAAAACAGTTTTACTGAGATGTAATTTAAATACTATAAGATTCACCCATTGTAACTATATAATTTTCTTTTTTTTTTTTGAGACGGTGTCTCACTGTGTTGCCCTCAGTAGAGTGCTGTGACATCACAGCTCACAGCAATGTCAAAGTCCTGGGCTTAAACGATTCTTTTGCCTCAGCCTGCCAAGTAGCTGGCTACTAGTCAATGTAGGCTGGCGTCCTACTCACTGAACTATGGGTGTAGTTACACATCATCAATCCCTCTTTTGTTTATGTTCCTCAGGTTCCAAAACTCTTTTACTTGTTTGGGATCAATTCCTGTTTCCTACCATAGCCCTGGCAAACATAGACTTTCTGTCTCTAGTTTTGCCTTTTCTAACTATTTAATATATATAAATTAATATGGTTTTTATATCTAGCTTCTTTGACTTAGTATGTTTTTGAGGTTTCTTGTGTTATTGAATGTATCAGTAGTTTGCTCCTTTTTATTACTGAGTAGTATGCTTGTATCTTCTTATCCATTTACTGATTGCTCCTTATTTGGATTGTAGTTTATGCTATTATGAATAATGATAAATTACGTACATTTGCTTACATGTGTTTGTATGGACATCTGTTTGCATTTCTCTTGTGTAAATACTTAGGAGTAGAATTGTATAACTTTCAGAAATTGCCAAACTATTTTCCAAAGTGGCAATATCATTTTATTATACAATCTCAATGGCGATTTCAGATTGTCCATATCTTCCCTAATACTTGGTATAGCCAATTTTTTAATTATAACTATTATTGGCCATTTGTGTATTTTTTGAGTGAAATGCCTATTCAAATTCTGTAGTTATTTTAAAAATTGGAGCCTTACTGTGTTCTAAGTGTTCTTTATGAATACTGGATACAAGTCCTTTGCAAATGTTCTCTCAATCTGTGGCTTATCTTTTAATTTTTTTAATAGTGTCTTTTAAATAGTGCTTTTTTTTTTTTTTTAATGAAATAGAGATGGGGTCTTGCTATGTTGCATAGGTTTGTCTTGAACTCTTGGGTTTAAGCAATCCTCTTGCCTCAGCCTCCCAAAGTGCTGGGACTACAGAAGTAAGTTACAGCACTTGGCCATATGAGTGAACTTCTCCAATTTTGGTAAAGTCCAATTTATCTTTTTTGTTCTTTTATGGATTGTACTTTTGGTATAATGTCTAAGAATTCTCTGCCTAACTCAGAGATGTAAAGATGTTTTTCTCAGAATTTATATAGTTTTGTCCCATACATTTAAAAGTCTGTGATCCTTTTTTTTTGAGACAGAGCCTCAAGCTGTCCCCCTGGGTAGAGTGCTGTGGCATCACAGCTCACAGCAACCTCCAACTCCTGGGCTCAAGCGAGTCTCCTGCCTCAGCCTCCCGAGTGGCTGGGACCACAGGCACCCGCCATAACGCCCAACTATTTTTTGGTTGCAGCCGTCATTGTTGTTTGGCAGGCCTGGCCTGGATTCAAACCCGCCACCTTGGGTATATGTGGCTGGCACCTTGTGATCCTTTTTGAGTTAGGTTTTCTGTGAAGTGTAAGGGTACCTATGATTATCTAGTTGCTATAGCCCCTTTTGTTGAAGAGACTGTCCTATGAATTGCCTTGACACCTTTGTTGAAAATGGGTTAACAGGCCTGGCATAGTGGCTTACACCTATAACCCCAGTACTCTGCAAGGCCAAGGTGGGTGGATTGCTTGAGCTCAGAAGTTCGAGGCAAGCTTAAGCAAGAGTCAGACCCCTGTCTCTACTAAAAATAGAAAAACTAGCTGGGGGGTAATCATGTATGGCTGTAGTACCAGTTACTCGGGAGGCTAAGGCGGGAGGATTGCTTGAGCTCAGGAGTTTGATATACTAAGTATCATGTTAGCTATAAGTTTTTCATGGATTATCATGTTGAGGAAGTCTTTTTTTATTCCTACTTGCTGAGTTTTTGCATGAATGGGTGTTGGGATATTGTCCAGTGCTTTTTTGCATATACAGTAGAACCTCTGTAAGTTGACCAGGAACTAGGCCTACTATATTGATGCCTACATGTGGTACATGTTTGGTCTATGAAAATAAGGTCAATTTAAGGAAGTGGTTGATGTAGGGAGGTGGTCAACTATGGTTCTACTGTATTTCAGTGGTTCTTAACTGGGATGATTTTTTTTTTTTGAGACAGAGTCTCAAGCAATTGGCCTGGGTAGAGTACTGTGGCATCATAGCTCACAGCAACCTCCAACTCTTGGGTTCAAGTGATCCTCTTGCCTCAGTTTTTCTATTTTTAGTAGAGAACAGGGTCTTGCTTTTGCTCAAACTGGTTTCGAACCAGTGAGTTCAAACTGTCTATCCACCTCGGCCTCCCAGAGTGCTAGGATTACAGGCATGAGCCATTGCACCCCACCTTAAGTGGGATGATTTTGCTCCCTGGGAGATATTTTCCAAGGTCTAGAGACTTTTTTGGTGATCACAACTCAGGAGCAGGATGCTACTGATACATGGTGGGTAGAGATCTAGGCTGCTGTAAACATCATATAGTGCACAGGATAGCCCTTCACAACAAAGAATTGCTCAGTATAAAATGTCAATACTGCTGAAGTTGGCTCAGCACCTGTGGCTCAGTAGTTAGGGCACCAGCCACATACACCAGGGCTGGTGGGTTTGAACCCGGCCTGGGCCTGCTAAACAACAACAATAATAAGTAAGACAAAAAATTGCTGGGCGTTGTGGCGGGCGCCTGTAGTCCCAGCTACTTGGGAGGCTGAGGCAAGAGGATCACTTAGCCCCAAGAGTTTGAGGTTGCTGTGAGCTGTTATGTCATGGCACTCTATCAAGGGTGACAAAATGAGACTGTGTCTCAAAAAAACAAAAAACAAATTAAACTGCTGAAGTTAAGAAACCTGGTCTGGGCTACCTGATGGCTCATGCCTGTAATCCTAGCACTCTAGGAAGCAGAGACAGGAGGATGCCTCCAGGTCAGAAGTTCTAGACCATCCTGAGTAAGAGTAAGACCCTGTCTCTAATAAAATAGAAAAACTGGCTGGGTGCCTGTGGCTCAAGCAGCTAAGGCGCTAGCCACATACACCTAAGGTGGTGGGTTTGAATCCAGCCTGGGCCCACCAAACAACAATGACGGCTGCAACCAAAAAATAGCTGGGCTTTGGGGCGAGCACCTGTGGTCCCAGCTACTT